GTTTGAATGAAAATGGTCCCCAAAGGCCCATACATCTGAATACCTGATCAGCAGGTGGCACTAGTTGGAAGGATTAGGAAGTATGGCCTTGGTGGAGGAAGGGTGTCACTGGGCTTCGAGGTTTCAAAAAGTCCATTCCAAACCCAGAGTTTCTCTCTTGCTGCTGCTTGTGAATCTGGGTATAGAAACTCTCAGCTACTCCTCCACCAACATGTCTGCCAAAGTGTCACCATGCTCCCAAGCACAATAATCACTAACCCTCTGAAACTGCATGCCAGCCTCAATTAAATGCTTTCTTTTGTAAGAGTTGCTGTGGTCGTGGTGTCTCTTTACAGCAGTAGAACACTGACTAAGACACTTCCTTTCTTAAGGGGACATTTGGGGAGTTATTTTGGAGACAGGGAATCATGAAACCAACATCTGAACATGAGTTTTGTATACTCCCCAAATTTATATGTGAAAATCAAATCCCCAGTGTGATATCATTTGGAGGTGTGGGTCTTTGGAAGATGATGAGCTCCTGGAAATCAAACTCTTGGATGAGATAGTGGCCCTTTAAGATTTTCTTTGGTCATCTCCTCTGAGGGTGCACAGTGAGAAACTTGTCTCTGAACCTAAGAGAGCAAGTTTTTTGTTTTTATTTTTGTTTTGTTTTGTTTTTTTTAATCAGACAGACACTATATCACTACCTTGTGCACAGATTCTGGAAGCTCAAAAACAATCATAAATACATTTCTGGGTTTACAAGCCCAGCCGTCTATGGCAATTTTGATATCCTAGCTCAAAAGGAAAGGGATGCCATATTCATTGCGATGTTTTGCCTTCTACTCACTCATCCCCATGCTAGGCTTCCTTGGCTGTGAGCTTCTGGTTAAACAAGTCACTTAAAGTGACTGAATTTGCCAAGCAGAGCAGTCTCCTGGTCTCACAGCATGGTGAGGTACTGCCTATTGACTGTAGCAGCTTCGAGGGTTGGGTCTGATTAACACAGGGTAATTAATAAGAGTAAGGAGTAACGATAATCCCTCATGTATGCCATAAAACTGGGATTCAGGCCCTTAGCACTCAAAACAAGAGTGGAAATCTGCACCCATTGCCTCTCTGCAGATTTCTACCATAGTCGTCTTGTCTGTAGAGTGATGTGGATGAAACTGAATTGAACGACAGACATGTCAGTAGGAGAGGAATAGTGAGGAAGATTTTTCTATCTGCTCATCTATCCACTGGTATTCTCTCTCTCTCTCTCTCTCTCTCTCTCTCTCTCTCTCTCTCTTCATCCATCCTCAACCTCCTTCCCACTTTCTCCAGATTATTTTGGGTTTAGAAAGTCTGTGGATTATGTCAAGGTCAAATAAAATGACCAATTAAAACCATTTAATGCAAACAAGCGACTTTTTGATCCTTTACTACATGTGGAGACAGCAGGAGAGGGAAGCTGCAGTCAGTCTTAGATATTACAAAGAGCAAATTTGACACTTTTTGTTGTTGTTGTTTTTGTCTTTTCTGAGACAGGGTTTCTCTGTGGCTTTGGAGGCTGTCCTGGAACTTGCTTTTGTAGAACAGGTTGGTCTCGAACTCACGAAGATCCACCTGCCTCTGCCTCCCGAGTGCTAGGATTAAAGGCAGGAGCCTCCAACTTTATAGTATTTAGTTTTTAAGATTTATTTAATTTTTAGTGTGTGTGTGTGTGTGTGTGTGTGTGTGTGTGTGTGTGTGTA